CATAAACAGAAGTGAGAAGTCTGCTATTGTGATGAAGCCTATATCATTTAAGACCTGAAACCTTGACCAAGCAGAATAAATAAATGAATAAATAAATAATTAAATAAAATGATTCTGGAATTGTAAGCAAGGGAAGATGAAATGATCAGTAGCAAAAAACCAAACATGAGCTGACATCATGAAAAAAATAGCAAATTCATGAATTATTCTAAAATCGAAGCATTTGTTAGTCTTAAGTGTGAATCTCTCTTCTATGAAACTCTTTAATCTGGCCTTATAGTATGATTTACAAAGCACAGTTTCTATTTCTAAGAGCCTCTTACAACTCAAAACTTGCCTTACAGATTTTCTCAGAAGTAATCTTGACAGCAAACACATATTGTTTGAACTTTGTTTTTCATATTTTGTACATTAGTTGCCATTCACGTTTTAGTAGTAAATTCTACATGGTCCCAGGTGTGTGACTGTGCATGCAAGTTATATCAGAACAGGCCTTCCCAGCTTTGTCTTATAGTTATAATATGTAAAATATTGATGTAATTCTGCATCTCCCTAAAGATTTTTTGAATCGTTTGGGATTGATAGTCTCTCTCTCTATGGATGCTGCTTTAGGACATTTACTAAGTATACTACTGGGTCTTTGTCAGTGATTAATGACGACTAGATTCGTTGGCTTTCGCTTTTATTGTAAGTTCCCCTTTAACATTTCTGATTTTAGTTGTGAGAAATAACCCTGTACATGCATGTATTAGAAGTCAGGGAAGATCCTCTCGATCCATCCCATCAATTTCCCAGGAGCAACTGGCATAATTTAAATCTTCATCTAACTGTTCTCCTTCAATTGTAATTGGTGCCACCTATTTTTAAAGTAGCCTATTCTTGTAACATTAACGTTATTTTGGTAATTTATTGCTACCCCATTGCCAAAAACAGGCACATGGGCGCCATAAATAAAGCAGTCTGATAATTGCTTAAACAAAACTGGGCCCCACGGACCAGCAATAAACTGTCATTAAGGTTAGGCCGGAGAAACACCTGCACTTTCTCTGGATAACCTCTTTTATTTCTCTGTGTACACTACTGCTTATTTCAGAAAATGACAGTTTTGAAAGATATCAGCAATTTGTGGAAATAAAGAATGAGAAAAACATGGTCTTGGAGGTATAATTTACTTTTACATTTTGAATTAAAAAAATAGAAAAAGATATGTTGATGAAAAAAATTACCATATGAAAACCACAACATTTCCACTGTAGAGCTAGAGCTATTTCACATTTTAAAAGCTTGCTCCCTTTGTGGTAACTTTTATTTGTTATTTAAATTCAAGTTAATTTTCCCTGACTTGTGATACTAAAAAATAGTACTCATGGTCTTTTACTGTTTTCATGCACAGTTCAAATAATGTATTTTAGTGTTGCAGCTTGGCTCAGCAATTGTAAAGATTTAGGTTCTGAAGGTTGTTCATCAATCAAGTGGCCTATGTACCTCATTTGCAATGTGAAAGTATTAGAAATATGAAAGAATTGTGTTTATCTTATAATACAAAATAAAGAAAGAATAAAATTATACTTAAAACCAATTCAGAACACACAAGTAGGTGTCACTTAAATGTCTTTTTCAATGTCAGTGAAATTTTCAGTTGCTTTTCTTTCTTAAAATTTGCTCCTAAAGTGGCCATAATAATTGATATTTTATAAAGCTGAGGAAAAAACAAAATGAATGTCTTCCCTTTATATTTATCAAAAGGTTATTTAAATTCATTCCTCTTGAATGTGATGGAAGTATTTTCTAAATTATGTTAATTTTAACACATCAAACGCATGTTTGAATACGAATAAGATCAAACCGGTCTTGAGTCATATCTGCAAGATCTTAATTTTAACATCATAGAGACAAAGATTTTAGTTAATCTTTTGTTTTGCTGTGAAATTTCTCTCTCTAATTATGGACATGACACATTTTATCTTATTCAGTTTCAATTATATATATATAATTGAATATATGTATATATACACATACATATATATACACACACACATATATGTATGTTGGACTCATCTATGTACATGAAGATGCTAGCTTTGAATGAAATACTATCAATTAGAAATTGTTGTTCATGCTTAATATAAATTTAATTATAAGCCGAAATCCTTTAAGACAAAACAGGGAACCAGGTACTCTTATAAGTTTTCTCCCAATAAATACTTTGATGTTTTGGAAAAATTTAGTACCATATATTTTTCCCCAAATATTACCTTTCTTCATTAAAAATAATAGTAATAATTCTGGAGAGTTATTTACACTGTGATTTATTAATTCAATCCCTATGATTTAACATGGTGATGAAAATGGTCTTTATATTTAAAATGTGCATGTTATATTGCCAGTTTTTACTGAGCACATACATTGTCGGCTGATACACACTACTTTGTAGGTGAGTGTTTAGCGAAGAAAGCCATTGTTCCATTGGCAAATTACCACCATTAGTTGAAGGAGCCCACAGGTTTAAATTGCAGGAGGTTTGCAGGAAGCATGTGTGCTGGCAGAGCTGTTTGGTAAGGCATCTGCAATAACCATCTACATTATGCTTCCATTTAGCTGGTGTCATCACTCTGTCACTTTCATCTCTTCTATAATTTGCACAAAAAGAAAGCACACCACAACAACTCTTTAAATTCCAAAAATGTACAGTAAACTGTCAGTTTCTCTTCTATAAAGTTGTTTGTCTCAGGATTTTACTTGGCGTACAATTTCTCAATAGATGTATCCTTCCTTCCCAAATGCAAAGGAAATTCCATTGATCAATAGGGGTTGCGGTACTTATCAACATCACAGCAGAGACAGCTTAATTCCTTAGATTAGCATTTGGCTCAAATCTGCAAATGTTTTCTGAGAAATTACTATTTATATATTTAAAAGTATCCAACTTCCCTATCTGCCTCCTATCAGCTCAAAATATAAGCCAGGGCCATGTGGCTGCATCTTAATCACGTTGGAGCTGGAGAGCCTGTCTCAGTTCATAGATAGGAGAGATTGTAATATTTTAACATTTCCTCCTGCCAAGTTGCTAAGCAATAAAACTATCTTGGCACTTTCCTGCCAGTTCATCATGGAGAACTACTTTAGTTTAGCTTAGTCTCTTGATGAAACAAATGCAAGGCAGCTGCACCAAACGGCCTTTCAGAACCATGTTGCCAAACAAATCCCAGGAACTTTCACCCCTTTGCATAGCTAATTGAGATGGCTTGAAGCAGAGAAATCCCACGTTTCAGTATCACCATAGAAAATCAAGTCTTAAATATTAGTGATTAAAAAATTATACAAACAATAGCTCATTATAAATTTTGCAGAGTGCTATCGTCCCATATTACCTTTCTCCAAGGTATACTTAAGTGTGGCTATTTCCAAGCTTAAAAAAGGCACATTTTTCATACCATAAAGTTAACTTTAGTCAGACATACTAGACAAGCTATTGGCTAAATTTGAAACGTATTTCTGCTTAATTTTTATATAGCTTTTGAGAGTTTTGATTACATAAATTATGTCAAAAGAATGCCACACAATAACTTTAAACAAGAGTGAAATTTATACATTTAAAAATGTATAAAGTAAAAAGAGAAGTAAGTTTCCTTTCGCATACATCTAATCCTGTATTTTTGTATGTGATTTTTCAGAACTGCCTCTGCGCATGTGTGTGCGTGTGTGTGTATTTGTGGGTGCACATGTATAAACTAAGAATTTTAGTCTATAAACTTATAGCAAAAAATTGATACATTTCTTTATTACTGTTACTGTTTTTATTAAAATTGAATCATATCCTGAGCCTCCAACTTGCCACTATATGAACTAAGTTCTTCCCAACTCAGGAATCAGAAAATCCCAAGAACCTTTATCACAGCAGAATGTTCTGGGAGAGTACAGGGCACACAAGTCACCGAGGCAATGGCCCTGTGCAAACTCACACCATGGTGTGAAGTGGACATCTGCCTTCTAGTGTTACACAGACTACACCTTCTGCTTCAGAGAGTTTGCAGGTGATCTTCTCTCAGTCTGCCGTCCTCACATTTCAGGTCCTTCACCGAGCCAACTCCTGCTCACCATTATCCTCAGCCTGAAATCACAAAGCTTCCTTATGTAGACCTTCTTTATCAACTCAGATTCAATTAAAACCTTTCCTCCTAGTGGACAACAAGGCACTTTTTAATGTATCCTTTATCATACTTCTCACATCTGTTTTTACCAACTCTCTTCTTCCTAAACTATGGTATCCATAAGGGTAGGACACAGTGCTTGACATTTATTCATTAATTGGACAGATACTCACTGAACATCTACTATGGTGAATTGATGTGCTGGATGCTGAGAATAAAACTTCTATTTGAATGGCATGATTCTCTCTCACTGTCCCTACCTTTGAGACAGATGTGAATAAAAAAGCTACACATCATTACTTAATTAGAATGACAGATGGTATACTATCTATATGAGTAGATGGACCAAATTAGTCTGGTGAGAGAGGCAAGTGTTTCAGGGAATTCTCTGGAAAAATTTGTATGTAGGTTGAGAACTGAGAAGTAAACACAACTTCATTAGGAGGGAAGAGCGTCCTTAGTTCTTTAGTGAGATTGGAAGGTGTGTGCCGTAAAAGACTTACAGAGGAGGAGGTGGTGGACACATATTCTGAAAGAAGTATTCTAAGGCCAGGCTGGCCAGCAGGGTTTTTATTTTACTGAATCTTTTGGGTTTTTTTCCATGGGAATACTGTGAAGCCATAAGCAAGGCAGCGATATGAGTAGATCTGCAATTAGAAGATGATGGTGGACTTAGCCAAGATGGTGAAAACAAACAGAATGGAATTGAAAGATATTGTGGAGTTAGAAATAGGAGAATTTAGTGATTCACTGAATGTGGGTCTGAGGCAAAGAAGATAAAAGTTAAAAAATATAAGAAGAAAAGCAATAGTTAACACTTATAATGCACTTGCTAGGTACTAATCATCATTTAAGTTTCTCACATGTATTAGTATATTTAATTTGCACAATAACCATAAGAAGTAGGTGTCATTAATACTCAAACATTAGATGAGGAAAGTAAATCAAAGGGTTAATAAATAACTTGCCCAAAGTCATACGGCCATAGGGTGATTTGGCTCCAGAATCTATTACTTACACATTACTCCTGGGCTTTTGGAATGAGAAACTGAGGACGGTGTTGCCATAAACTGGAATAGGGAACATTGGAGAAGCAGTGAATCTGGGCTAAGGCGCAAGATGACTTACGGACAGGTTGAATTTAAGGTACCTCTGAGATACGCAACTAGGGAAGACAGTCCTGGCATTCTCAAGTTGAATATAAACAGAAGATATCATTTTGGGACTTATCAAAGTATAGATGATAATGACAGCCATGGGATGCATGAAAGCATTCAGGATTACAGTATAGAGTAAAAAAAAGAAAGCCTATATGAAGTACAGGAAGGGGTGTTGGCCTCATTGTCTAAGGAGGAAATGCTAGGGTAGTAGAACAATGGGATTATGCTGTCACAAAAACCAAAGGAAAAACATAATTTCTTAAATTGTCGTCTGCCACTGAATCTGGCTATAAAACCTTATCTTGCACTAAAAGGATTTGTAGCTTTTCAGCTGAGAATGGATTCAGGATACTGAATCAACACAAGAAAAGAGAGAAACGGGAGATGAAGAAAACTCAGCTACATTTCCTATAGGAAGGAGAGATTTTAACAGTGAGTAGTTTTTCAAAATTCAGTTCTTACATCCTACCACCATTAAACAGAACTCTGAGGTTAAGCAAATTTGGATGCAATCATAACAAAATCAAATAATACCATGGCTCAATTACACCTGCCAAAAATGTGGGATTAAAAAGCATTTAATTAGTTATTATCATTTTGGTTTACTCAGAATTAGTTATACTAGATCTATTTTTTTCTTAATAAATTTTGTGTGATAATTATAGTCCTTTAAACAATTTAAACTTTCTTCTTCCTTCAGCGCTCAGATATACGCTGGGAACAGTCTACCAACATTGTTGGCAAGTCTGATACCTGTTAGTTCACATCACCTTTTCAGAAAAAAGAAAGGCATTTAACTGCCAATGGGAGGAGAAGCCCATAATGTTAATAACTTGTGTATTATGTTAATTGTCTGTTTTAAAAGAAAGTAGTGTTAAGATATGCTTTTTCTGTGCATTAAACTTTGCGAAAATTCTGCATAATTATGACTTAATAGTATTTTTGAACAATGCTTAACATACTAACCTTACATACACTCTAGACCAAAATAAGAAAGCATCTTAATTTACACCTTGATCTCTCAAAAATTAATCATGTCTTTGGTGAATGGTTTTATATATACATATACCTAAAGCATATAAGACTTTGGCACCTGTGTTCTGTAAAGAGAAGGTTGATTTGTTTTTTAGCTGTCGTATTTGGAGTGGAACTATAATACAAAAGTATAGTATTCTTTTTTTTTTTTTGAGATGGAGTCTCGCTCTGTCACCCAGGCCTGGAATGCAATGGCGCTATCTTGGCTCACTGAAACATCCGCCCCCTTGGCTCAAGCAGTTCCCTGTGTCAGTCTCCTGAGTAGCTGGGATTACAGGTGCCCACCACCATGCTCAGCTAGTTTTTGTATTTTTAGTAGAGGTGAGTTTCACCATCTTGGCCAGGCTGGTCTTGAACTCCCGACCTTGTGATCTACCCACCTCGGCTTCCCAAAGTGCTGGGATTACAGACGTGCACCACTGAGTCCAGCCTATATTCTTGTTTATCAATTCAAAGATGCTCTGCACTGTTTTTGAATCTTTAAAAATAACTTAGATGCAAATTTATTGCAGAAAAAAACAACTTTCAGGTAAGAGGTGTTCTCCAGGGTGGAAGAACTACTTGGCATGTAAGAAATAGTGGTCCTAATGCATATTGTGACTGTTTGCATAGATTTCTGTTTGTAAAATCATCAGTTTTACTTTTCAGATGATTTGTAAGAATCATTTAAATTTTCATTGAAATAAATGAGAAGTCATACTGTCACTTAAAAAAAAAAAAGAAAGGGAGACCTTTGTTAAGGAGAGTGCAGTCAACCAGTAAATTGCAGGTTCTCAGAACGTTTACTGACGTACTAATTATTAATTCCCTTATACTCTAACATCTGTATATTTTTACCAGTGTTCTCAGACCACTTCTACCAAAACGTAAATCTGTGATTGTGATCTCTGAAAGTCAGTGCTTTTATCTACTCAAGTAAGTGTAAATTTTATAAAATAAATTATTTTCCCTAGAAATATAAGGTGTTCTTTTCTTAATTTATCCACTAACTGTTTAGAAATATAATTAGCTTCTAAGATGTCATAAACAGTAAACTTTAAATATCATATCTATTGGTTAAAGTTTAAAATACTTCCAGGAAATAAGCAGATTTGAGTTAATGTTAATTTTATCCAACTAATACTTGAAAAGGATCATTGATGTATATTACTACTTTTTATTTTAATTAATGTACTACTAATCATAACAGTGTTAGTTACAATTTTGTCTTCAAGTACAATAAAGGTATGTAGATTTGAACTTTTTTGATTATTTTTGGCCTCTTCGTCAATGCCTCATAATCAAAATTTTAATTAATATTTTGCACTAAAAGTAAAAAAGAAAATTGGGATAAAAATGTGCAGTGTGTTTTATTTGTTATAAGGAGGCATCTTTCCTATATCCAAGTTTAACTAATTCTGGTCCTCTACCTGCTTAGATTAACTGATAAGAATTTTATAAACATTTCTTCCCATCTTGTTATAAATCAAGAGTGGCAGTCTTTCCACATTTTGATGTAGTAATTTTGAGCTTATTACAAAGTAAAATAAAAAATTAAAAACAAATATCACCTTATAAGAATTCAAATGGTATATATCAAATATTAATTTAAATTGCTGTTAATATTATATGAAATACACATGTTGTTAAATTTTAAATTACTATCTGGTTTAATAGAGTATATATATATTATCTAGAGTCAAATCAGATTATGGCAATGTTGTAGAATTTAACTGAATGCCCAGATGGAGAAACTATGCTTATATTATAAAAAGGGGACTACAATCCTAGAGTTGGACTCAAGCACAAGCATCTCTTACTGTTTTGCAGAGGAAGACACTAAGGTTTTTCGCAAGTAAATTGCTTTTTGGGAAAGGTGGGAGATTCTGGGAACATAGAAACTTGAATCCAGTTTTCTTCAATTCCATGTCAAGACAGTTGCATTTTGTGAGAAAATAGCTACTGCCATTTATGACAAAATCATATATATGCAATTATGTAAAACTAATTGTGTATATGTATCTGTGTATGTGTGCATGTACAATATATAAAATTATCAAGATTTATCAAAGTCCATCCAGCTCCTAGCCATGAGGGGGATCTAGGATTCTATCACATGACACCTTTTTATGAGGCCTTTGTTCTGTCTATTACATTTGTCAGCTTGTTCATCAAAGAGATTCTTAATTATTTACTGAAATATCACAAAAGTGATGGTGAGCTAGGTTGCCTTGCTGACCCTGATAGGTCCTTGGCAAATTCATATTGACTCTCCACAAGTAAAACGCTAAGACAGTTTTTCCCATTGTGATGCTTTTGTCTACAATCTTAATTGTTAACTCTTCCAAAGAATAAACACAGAATATATCAAATTTTTAACCCATTTAGGTAGGAATATGGGTAAAGAGAAAGGAAGAAAGCAAGGTTAATGGTGGGCAGTGGCTAAATGAACAGAACATTCAGTTAAGTATTTCATCCCCAAAATGGTATAAACTGTGGCAGAAAGTACTTTGTTGAATCAATAGTTTCAAGACAGACACGTAGTAGGGACATCGAAGGTACAAAATAGAGCACTGATGAAGGAGTGAATTATCATCTTCACAGATGAGTAGAGAAAGAGAAGGTCTAAGTATAGAGATGAGAATATAGAAATTTCTGAAGCAGAACACAGCTCAGAAATTCAATCTGAATATATTCCAATTCAGTGCCTTGCAATAGATACATAATGGTTGCCTATCTTTCCATCATACAAAACAATGCATATCATTTAAACATTTTTTCTAGCATGAAAATGTGCCTGGGTTATGCAATATACACTTTACCAAAATATGATTCTGGTGGCTGCAAGCACTTAATTGTAATGACCTGCAAAATAAGCAACATTTTTAACTCCAGAATTTCAATCAATATTAGTTAATGAGGTGTGTGACAACCTATAACATGTTTTATCATAGTACAAATTCTCCCACTTACGGTATATTTAATTTTAATCCTTGCAATAATATAAATGAAATACATCTAAAACACCTGATAGTAAGCACTCAAGTAAAAGTCCCCATAACATGGCCTTAAAAAAGGTTAATCTTTTATTGATGGAGTCATGAAAACATTTTTGTTATAGATATTTTTATGTTCCTTCTTATATCAATCAGGATTAAATTTTCAAACTTTCATACCATTTAACAACAGACTGAATAAATAACAAAGTTGTTAACACAAAATGAATAAATATTTTGTATAATTAAAAAATAGAAGATAGAAAAAATAACTTGGTAACAAAAATGTGTTTAAAATATTTTATGCTCTCCATCCCATTACGTTATTCATTTTCTCATAACTGTAGACCTTTAGCTACGAAACGGAGGGAAGGGGCATTGTATACTAGTTACCTAGAAAACAAATCTTTTATAGGTCTTATTTTTTGGAAGGGAGATATATTTTAATTCAACTAAAATGTAAAACATTGGAAGTGTCCCCCTGCCAAGGCTTAGTTTTACTACTGGTTAATACAGATGAAGAAAAAATAAATCATATACTAAACTTGGGAAGCTTGGGTTTTCTCTTAAAGTAAGCCGTGCTGTGATTGTTCCATCTAAACGGTTATCTCAACTTTACTTTGTATCATATGAAAACAACACCCTCCTGAATAACTATGTATTGTCTATTTCCACCTGCTAAACAAGACAAGACCACATGAAATAGGATCAGCTTAGTCACAACCGTCAGGAAGCTTCAGACATATTGTTTATTGCAAATGGACATGTATTAAAAATGTATATACAGACACATCTTTGTGATATTACTTCTTGAAGTATGTTCTTATGGAAACTTAACTTTGTTCATCCAGTCAGATTTCCAGAAATTGATCTACTGTGACAATTAATATCTTATTCTCTGACTCTTTGTTATTCTCATTCTGTACTTACTTTGCTTTTATGAAAGATCTTTTAACAAAATTAATTTCTAGGACCATATTCTTAGCGAACTAATGTCATTTGATGAACAATGGCCATTTTCGTTTTTATCTCAAGGATCACACTTGGCATTTGTCTCTGACTTTTCACTCAGTTTGCAATGCATTCTGGTTCCCTTTGGAGGATGTTTGTTCTTTTTTTCTCTGCCTGCTCCCAACATTAAAATCCAACGTAAACTCTTAATTAAGTGGAGTTGACAGAAGTCACATTTTCTCCATAAAGAACAATGGGAATCCATTGGATTTGCCCTATCAAGAAAAAAGAAAATAGTATCTCCAAAAGTAGGCATTGGTAATTAATTAATCCCTAAACTTTTTGAAAAGTATCTGTATTAGTCTATTTTCATGCTGCTGATAAAGTCATACCTGAGACTGGATAATTTATCTTTTTTTTAAAAAAAAAAAAACAAAGAGGTTTAATGGGCTCATGGTTCCACATGGCTGGGGAGGCCTCACAATCATGGCAGAAGGCGAAAGGCACATCTTACATGGTGGCGGACAAAGGGAATGAGAGTCAAGAGAAAGGGGAAACCTCTTATAAAATCAGCAGATCTCCTGAGACTTATTCACTACCACAAGAACAGTATGGGAAAAACTGCCCCCATAATTCAATTATCTCCCACCAGTTCCCTCCCACAAGATGTGGGAATTATGGGAGCTATAATTCGAGATAAGATTTGGGTGGGGACACAGCTAAACTGTATCATTATCATACATCGTATTCATCTGGTAGTGATCAGGACATCTGTGCACAACCTCAGAGTTGCCTGATTTTTGCTTTTCTGTCTTTACTATCTCATACCAGTGGTTTCCATCCTAAAGTACACAAAACATGCTATTTTTCTGCTCTTTGATTTCCTGAGCAATATACCAGCTACTTTAGAACTGTGCTCCTGTACAGTTCCCCTTTTCTTCACGGCAACCTACAAATCTATTAAGTACTTAAAGACATTTTTTCCTGTGATGGAGATTTTGATGCTTGTTTGTTCTTTCTATGCCAACTTCCTACATCTCTGACTCTCATCCATATGTCCCGACTGCTACCTCTAAAACTAAAAGCTACCATTTATTAAGTATTTGCTGCATTTCCAAAATCACTCTAAGAACTTTGTCTACATTGTCTCATGTAATCTTCACAGTTTTCTGAGTTGTGTATTATATGTGGCTACTGTCCACATTCCTTCACTAAAGTTGTCATGGATTTTAGTTTATTTTAATTAAACGGCCAATGAAGATTTTGAGAAGTAACTGTGATCACATAACAGAGGTGGGAATGCATTTGAAGATATCTATATTAATTTTCTAAGGCTGCCATAGCAAATTTGCACAAACTTGGCATCTTAAAATAACAGAAATTGATTTTTTTTACAGTTCAGAAGGCCAGAAATCTGTTTTCTCACAGTTCGGGCCAGAAGTCAGAAAGCAGCAGAGTTGGCTCCTTCTGGAGCCTCTCAGGAAAAAACCTGTCCTATGCCTCTTTCCTGGCTTCTGGTGGTTCCCGTCACTCTGTGGTGTTGCTTGATTAGTAGTTGCATCAATCCAATCTCCAACTCTGTCATTGAATGGTCTTCTTTCTTGTATAACCCCCCTACATCTTTGTATTCAAATATCCCTCTCCTTTCTCTTTTAAAGATACTAATCACTGGCCAGATGCGGTGGCTCAGGCCTGTAATCCCAGCACTTTGGGAGGCCGAGGCTTGCTGAACTCGAGGTCAGGAGTTCAAGACCAACCTGGCCAACATGGTGAAACCGTGTCTCACTAAAAATACAAAAATTAGCTGAGCATGGTGGTGCACAAGTGTAATCCCAGCTACTGGGGAGGCTGAGGCAGGAGAATGGCTTGAACCCAGGAGGTGGAGGTTGCAGTGAGCCGAGATCGCGTCACTGCACTCCAGCCTGGGTGACAAGCAAGACTCCATCTCAAATAAAAATAAATAAATAAAAGATACTAATCATTAGATTTAGGTACCACCTTAACTGAGTAGGACTTCATTTTAACTTCATTACATCTCAAAATACTCTATTTCTAAAAAGGGTCTCATTCATAAGTACCAAGGATTAGAATGTGAGCATATATTCTTGGAGGACACAAGTCTACCCACTAAAATGTCTAATTCCAAATTGCATGCTCAATTATACAGTATACAGCACTAAACTACATACTACGGCTTTACTGGGTGACTCCCTTTTAAAGGCCTGCCATGGTCTCAACTATAATACTTCAATTTGTTTTACTTGAGTTGTCCTATACGTTTTTCTAGACCCAATCTCAAGCCATCCTTAGCAAGAATTTTAAGAAAATCTCCCATATTGTGCAAGTACTCAGTCAATGCAGAATAAGCAATGCTTTCCCTGACTAGTTCTATTCTGTTTCTTCTGCTTCCTGAACCTCTAGAAAGATCTTACCTGAGTTTCAGTAGAGTCTCCGTACATCCCACATGAATGATCTAATATCCAACCTCAACAGACTTCAAGTCAGTAATAAGTAAACAGAAAAACTTTGACTCATGTTTAAAATATTTCACTTGCCTTAGCCTCCCAAAGTGTTGGGATTACAGGCATTGGCCACCACGCCCAGGTGGATCACAAGGTCAGGAGTTCAAGACCAGTCTGGCCAAGATGGTGAAACCCTGTCTCCACTAAAAATAAAAATAAAAAATAGCCAGGCGTGGTGGCAGGCACCTGTAATTCCAGCTTCTCGGGAGGCTGAGGCAGAGGATTGCTTGAACCTGGGAGGCAGAGGTTGCAACGAGCCAAGATCATGTGAGGGCGCTCCAGCCCAGGTGACAGAGCAAGGCTCCGTTTCAAAAAATAATAATAATAAAATAAAATAATTCACTCATGAATTAATTTATTCAATAAGTATTTCATTCAAGTACATACACATTAGTACACGGTTCCAATGATCTTTGATTTAAAATCTTGGAAATAGCTTTAATTATATATTATATTTACATTGATATCCACTCAGGTATGAATATTCTCCATAAAATTTTTGGTTTCTCCCTTTCCACTCTTTTGTGAAATGTTTGGCTTCCTTGTCTGCTAACACTTTTTAATATGACAATTATCATTAATTATTCACAAAGTGAGTTAATATTTGCTACATATTTAATGTCTAATTTGTTTCACTATTTTGAATGTACTGTACCTGCCTTCTGAAAAGAATGCAAAGACCTCAAAGTCAAGCACATAATATAATATCCTTATGGTTTTGCACCCTACTATTCTTTCAGTACTAAATAACTAGTGATGAACAGCAAATGTAATTATATATGTACATATAGAGAGAGAACATTTGTGTATATATAGAACATATATATACACACACATTCACACATATATATGTGTGTATGTGTATATATATATGAAACATAAGAATTTATGTGTAGCTATGCTGAACATTTGGCTATCAGATAAAACTGTAGCTTTGCAAATACTTAAGAACAGAAAAAATGAGATTGCTCCTAGGTGTGGGGTGCCCAAAAGAAATGGAATCAGATGTTTTTGTTAATAGGTAATGCCCCAAATCTTATCAGTCATAAGCACTGGGGCAGACAGAGCTGTGCTTAGATATTCTAACATGGTATACCTTTACTAGTACCTTGGTTAGAAAAAAAGATACCCCGTCTAGGTGGACAAATCAGAAAAAGAGACCAGCTCTTAATAGGTCAAGCTTAAGAGCATATGGCTTGGTGATGGTGGCAGAGATGGAATTTTAGACTCTCCAGCTCCCTCCACAAGGCACTATTGTGCAGCACACACATTGCACAAACTCACGGAGTAGTCTTGGCCTTAGCTGAGGGGACAAAAAGAATTATTTGGTTAAGAAATGAGATTTAACAGCTTACATAAATCCTTCACATGTTTTAAGCACTTCTTGGACATCAATGCCTTACATTAATTAATCCATTTAATTCTTCTACATGCTATGAGTCTATCCACACCCATTTTACTCATGTGGAAACCAAGGCACAGGGAGGTTAAATGACTTGTCCAAGGTCACACAATCTTTGAGTGGTGGATTCTGGATTCAAGTACATGCAGCCTGATACTGAGACTGTGTTCATGAACACTTTACTGCCTTTAAACTTAAGAAATTAGAATAAATGTAAATTCCTGGGACTAACTATTAAAAAAATATAATAAGCTGTAATAAGTAGGAGGCATTATTAAATCAAAGAACTCACTTCGGGAAATACCAGCTTAGAACTTCATAGGCTTATGATAGGATTTATAAACAATCAAAGTATCAAGTTGATAAGCCATTCTGTGACTTGTAGATAAATATCTTATCAGTTTTTGTACCAGGCTGAAATCCTTTCTCAAGAGACTAAATCACCAAAGGGATTAGCTCTTTGTTTTGTGTGCAATTTTTCCACTGCCAGTAATTTTGTTTTCTGAGTAGTGAAACAAGTAATTCCCAAATTAAGACCATGTTAGGACTATAGGTCCTCATTTTCCTAATTGCAAAGAAAATTATTTTAAAAGTAATTTTCCCCTCAGAAGCAATTCCAAGACTGAAGATTAAATATACAGAGAAGCCATGATTCAGGCTTTAAAAAAAGAAAAATAGCTTTTTAAAGGAGTAGAAGTGAAAACAGTTAAAGTCAATATATTTAATTACTAAGATTTTATTGTATCTTTTACTCACATAAAAAGACAAAAATAAAACATGTTTCTGGTTTTCACAGTAACTGATCTGATAATGTCAATTTTTGAAAACGGATAGTTACAACTCAGGGCTTTGAGAATGTAAAGAGACCACCTTTGCATGTTGGGAAACGGTACGATTTCACGTTGTCAGTGCAGTTCCCTTCTCGGGGGAAAGGTAAGCACATAGCTAACCCCAGCTCCCAGCTGCTATTTCATGATAACAGCTCACGGAGCTGTGGGGCTGCTGAGCCTTTCCTATCTTGTTCTGGAATTCCTCTGTGACCCATCTGTACTACCAGAGGACTGGATGCTCAAAGTAGACACTTGGTCTCATGAAGCCACTACTGGGCTCCAGAGAGAAGGAAAAACTAAGAAGTTTTAAGACCTCCACCCTCCTTGGTTTACCTCCGTCATCAAAAAACAACAATGACAACAACAACACAAAACAAAACTAAACGACTTATTATTTATTAATTATGCTGCGGCAGACAATATGCTGAACATTAGGCATAATTCAATTCTTTTGTAAAAATTGGTAATTTATCTCTGTTTTATAGAAGCGTGAAACTGTCAGGAAGACAGGATGAAGTGATTTGCCTAAGGCCATATTGTCAAACAAGGAATTCATATTCACCTTTCTGGAATTCTTAGGATAATGATTACAAGTGTTCAATTGTTAAAAATTGGCAGATAAAATTGTATGTATTTACCATGTACAACACAAAATTTTGAGGTATGTATTCTGGAATGACTAAATCCAGTTAACATAGGCATTGTCTCACATAGTTACTTTTGTGGTGAGAACAGTTAACATTCACTCTCAACATTTTCCAAGAATACAATATATTACTAAAAACACTCACCATGCTGTAAAACAGATCTCTTGAAGTATTCCTCCTATATAATTGAAATTTTGTATCCTTGGACCAAAATCTCCTCACTCTCCTCACTCCTCAAGCATCCCTACCCTTGGAAACCACAGTTCTCCTTTCTCTACTTCTATGATATCAGCTTTCAAGAGGAGACCTTGTGGCATTTGTCTCTCTGTTCCCAGCTTATTTCACTTAACGTAACATCCTCTATGTTCATCCACGTGCAAACCCCTAAGTTCATGTCCTTTTTTAAGGTTTAATAGTTTTCTATTGTGTACATGTGCCACAATTTATTTGCCCATCCACTTCTTGATGGATGCTTTAGTTGTTTCTTTCTGTACCTGAGCTATTGGGGACAATGCTCCAGTGAACATCAGAGCACAGATATTTTTACAGGGTGGTGATTTCTTTTCCTTTGGATATATAAACCCAGAAGAGAAAGTGCTTGGTCATATGTTCTTTTCTTTTCTTTTCTTTTCTTTTCTTTTCTTTTCTTTTCTTTTCTTTTCTTTTCTTTTCTTTCTTTCTTTCTTTTTTTTTTTAGAAACCTCCATATTCTTTTCCACAGTGGCTGCACCAATCTCCCAAATTAAACTTCAATGTGCAGATGAATTACCTAAAATTCTTCATAAATTGCAAATGCTGGTTTAGACGGTGTGCTGATTTTGATGCATTTTTAAGACTCCCCTGCCTCCCATCCCTCCCAAGATATACTCACAGATTTTCCATGTATTATCTAGGGTCTTAACCACATTGCTTGTTTTTCTATTAGAGTTTGGAACTGGGTCACCCATGCTCTGAGGCTCTATGAAACCCTGAAGGGATAGGTAAATATATAAGCTCTACAATCCAATGGCTTGGTTTTATATTTTGGATTTGAAACTTAGTAACCATTTTCACCCAGAGGAAATTCCTTAAACTCTCTAAGCTTCAGTTTCTTTATCTGTAAAGTGGGAGTTACAGTTACTCTCTCCCATTGTATTTTTAAAGACCAAATGAGGAACTTGATGTAAATAGGAGCCTAATACCTGGTACATAGTAAATGTTCAATATATATATTCATGAATATTTTTAATTAAAAAATGTTCATTGCAACATTATTCACAGGGGCCGAGATATGAAAATCAACCTAAATGTCTGCCAACAGATGAATGGATAAAAAGGTTTATATACACATAGACACACACACACAGAGAGATATATGTACATATCTGTGTATATATGTATATATACACACATGCACAGATATATATGTATATATATACACAGATATATACACATAATGGAATAGTTTTCAGCCTTAAAAAAGAAGGAAGTCCTGTCATTTCCGACAACCTGGAGAACATTATGCTAAGTGAAATAAGATGGGGATGGAAAGACAAATACTGCATGATCTCACTTATATGTAGAATCTAAAGTTGAATTTATAGAAGCAGAAAGTAGAATGATGGTTACCTGGAACTAGGATTAGGGGAAATGGAGAGATGTTGGTCAAGGGGTAGAAATTTTCAATTAGGCAGAAAAAGTAATTTCTGGAGACCTAACGTAGAGCATGGTGACTATAGTTAGTAATACTATATTGTATAATTGAAATCAGCTTAGAGAGTAGATCTGAAATGTTCTCACTACACAAAAAGATAATTATGAGAGGCGATGAATATGTTAACTAGCTTGATTGTGGTAATCATTTCATAATGTATACATATATCAAAACATCACCGTCTACAGCATACATAAATACATTCAAATTTTTTTGTCAATTACACCTCATTAAAGCTGCACAGAAAAGCATCATCGATAAATTTCTAAAATAATAATAATAATAATTTGCCTGACGAGATGGCTCACGCCTGTAATCCCAGCACTTTGGGAGGCCGAGGTAGGAGGATTACAAAGTCAAGAATTCAATACTAGCCTGACCAACATGGTGAAACCCTGTCTCTACTAAATACAAAAATTAGCTGGGCATGGTGGTGCGTGCCTGTAATCCCAGCTACTCAGGAGGCAGAGGCAGGAGAATCGCTTGAACCTGGGAGGCGGAGGTTGCAGTGAGCCAAGGTTGTGCCACTGCACTCCAGCCTGGGCAGCAGAGCAAGACTCCATCTCAAAAACAATAATAAGCATAATAATAAAAATAAAATAAAAATTGCTTAGAAATTTCAAGATACAGTGCCCTCCACTGAACTTCCTTAATCCACATAGCACTGTAGTTTTAGTCTATAGTAATCGTCACAAAGTTAGCCACTTAGCGCAGATTTATTATTGCACAATTTCTGTTGGTCAGAGCCTGTCACATTTTAGCCAAGTCCTTTTCTCAGGGTCTCATAAGGCTATCAGGGTGCTGGCCAACTGCACCCTCATCTGGAGGCCTGACTACAAAAAGATCAGCTGAAAGGCTCCTCAGAGTGTTGGCAGCATTTGTTTCCTTGTAGTTGTAAGATTGAAGTCCCTCTTGCCTCACTATCAGTCAGCTGGGAGTGACCTCACCTCCTCCAGGCTGCTATCAGGTTATGCCACAGGCCCTCTCCATTTCTTTAATAAAGAACTGCCCTCATATTGAATCCATCTCACACCTCAGATCTCTCTGATTTCCCTTCTGCTTTCAACTAGACAAAACTCTCTGCGTATAGAAAGGTTCATGTGATTAAATTGTGCTCTATTTTAAGGTCAAGTGTGCTATGTAATATGACCAAATTATGAGAGTAAAATCTATTATAGTGACATTCCCTGGAATTATGCAGGAGGGAAACTACCGCTGGAGGGATAATCTTTGGGGCCAACTTAGACTATTGATTATTCCATGTTCAAGGAGAGCTGGCATATAATTGGAGAGCTAAGAACTGTCAACATCTCAACATCTAAAAAAATAAAAATTGCAATTGTATTTAAAATGTTAGGAAACATAGTTAGAAATTTAGGGTTTTAAGCAGATATAAAGATCTTTTTTTTTAATCATGGTACCACCTAATTACAATATTAGATAAAGAAGAACAATTAAACCTAGTCTATATGTTAGAGAAATATAGTAATTTTTCTGGAATTATTTATTATGTGCAGGCTTCGGGTTATTGGAACAGATCATTGAACATAATATGTTTTAAAGTACTTAAAATATTTTATGAATAAAGTTATTTTTATACAGAACAGAAATAGTTGATATTGAATCAGAAATATTGCATTAGCATAAGTCATATGTTTAAGGAAATACATTCCTAAACAATACGAAGAAACACAGGCAACACTGATTTAAAAAAGATTTACAGACATGAGCTGCATGCAGGTGGTTTATGGACTAGAATTCTATGCCTTCTAGAAGCAGAAAATATGCAACGACTCATTCTGCCTTATGGGCATTTCAGAGCTTTTAATCTAATAAAACCTATATGTCAGCCAGTAGCATGTCAGGGTCTCATTACTCTGCTTCCTTAGAGCCTGATATGGGAGGTTAAGTCCCTGCACAAATGTACCTCTTGGGGTTCCCTGAGGTGGAGCTGTGCAGGTTTGCATCTTTACTTACTGACATAATAAAAAAAAAGATGACATTAAATATTCTATTCCTGTTTTCACTCATGCATTCACTAAGAATGATGAAAGTGGGAACTGTGTGGCATGGCCTAGGAATTGTGCATGAGCACACTGTTTATTTTACATCTCATCGAAGTCAGTTTCTAACCTTCTGTCTGTAGACAAGCATATCACCTAAGCTCCCTCAGAGATTAAAGGTATACTACATAGCTTAAATGGCCCAACTAATGAAAGAGAGGTACCTTTAAATTGCATCTTAATGAGAAAAAATATGAAAAGGAGAATTAATAGAGATTTCTCAAATAAAATTTAGTGAGCATGATTTTTATTATTGAACAATGTTTGCCTATGAAGTCTTATTCAACTTGATGAAAAAATGCTAAGATACATGTGAAGGAGTCCTCATTTTAATACTTTATAAAGTTGCATATACATATACTTAAGAAAGAAAAGTAAATAATGGCATATTTGCTGTCTTTAAATCATTGAGAAAAAAATAAAAGACTACATGTGTCATTTAATTTAGCTAAAGAAGGAAGGTGACTGAAAAATACAGTTTTTACATAAGACACTAAGTAGCTGGCTGGGTTTTGCTAATGTTCCCAAATTTGAAATCATTTAAAAAAGAACACTCCAATGAGCACCAGACAACTGAGAAGTTTTAAAATAAAATTATAACTGCACTTAATCTCACATTGTCTCCTTAGCCTTTTGACATTTTAATTGCTGTGCCATTTTTCACTGAGATGGCAAGCATTTTTTACATATGCATAATGTAGCCTGTGTTAATGCGTATTGATTAAAGTAGATAGTGATGCAAGGATGTTGGAATTTTCCCCACTGTGACCTTACTGAATGTTTCTCTCTGCTCCTTTTGTTTTCTTTATAACCAGAAGTGGGGGGGGGGGACATGTATTTTCCAGTAAGTCTCTATGCTATCTGAACTGTAGTATTAATAGGTGAAAAATGACATGTTTAACAAAAGAAAGACTAGAAAGCATCTACATCACAACCTTGTAAGTCTTCCATTTCTGCATTGGAGACGCTATAGGAAAATCAATAATTTCCGTTGAGTCTAGTGATCTAGCTGCTTACAAGAAATTTACATCTCCCTGACAGGCAGTTTGTGAGGTCTGGTTCACCTGGGTCACAGGAGTACACATAATTTGCATCTTGAGCAATTTCTCTCTTTCCTTCTACCTGTTTCATGAGGAAAGAAGATTGAACCTGGTCATAAAGAGAAGCTCATTACGTCTCAGCTGAGAAGAGTAATTCTGTAGGTGTTCCTGGAGTGCAAGAGTATCATATAATGATAATATTTTCTCATAGCTCTTCAGACCTATGCACACACCAGGAAATGAAAGTAACGTACACTGAGGCACATTTGAAGCTTTTGAGCTGTCATTCACCAAATGAAATTTAAGTGTTCCATCAAAGTCATTTGGAAACATGATCTCAAGATGGATATCCAGATTCTTTGCCAGCAAAAATATACAAGATAGACATTTAGCTTACGTCTCATAAAATCTGAAAAAAAAATCCCCTTCTATTTTATTCTGCCCTTCAAAATATACAAGATCTGAATGTCAAATAAATGTTTATATTATGATATGTTCATAATGCCTGGCATATATTTTCCTAGTTAGTGCTGTAAGCTCAGTTTAAAACAAATAAAAACCAAGGAGGCACTGCTGAAAACTTTTTGAATCAAAAATACAATGCAATAGCATTTAATTATAATTAAGTCTTTAATATGCTTATTTAAATCTCACATAATTTTAAGCATGGGTCTATCTGCAAATTCATCTAAATAAATATTTGGCATGAAGTCTAAATCCACTTTATTCCGATGTTTTTTCTCCAGGATAAAGATAATAATGAGATTCAAATGTAATAATTTTCATCCTGTATTCATGAAAATAATTGTATAGGTATAAATGAATGTATTATTACAACTCACTAAGTTGTACTTATACATGGTCA